AAATGTTGGCACAAAGAGGAAGAATTCAAATTTTCTCTGGGGTTAAGGTCTTCTTTAATGCAAAAGAAATGAGTAAACACTCTAACATAGACTCAACATTAATGCTTTACATTATAGAAAACAGAGTTGGAAGGGACCTTGGAGGTCTTCGAGTCCAACCCCCTGCTCAGGCAGGAGACCCTAAACCATTTCAGACAAATGGTTGTCCAGTTTCTTCTTGAAAACCTCCAGCGATGGGGCACCCACAATTCCCTGGAAGCAAATGATTAAATTCTTCTCATAATTAAGGAAATTTCTCCTTATTTGGGTCTTTCCTTGATAAGTTTCTACCTTCTTGCCCTGCCTTCTGGCGTTTTGGAGAATAGGTTGACCCCTCCTCTTCTTTGTGCCAGCAGTTGAACAACTGCTATATTTATAGGTAAAGGTAAAGGTTCCCCTCGCACATCTGTGCTAGTCGTTCCCGACTCTAGGGGGCGGTGCTCATCTCCATTTCAAAGCCGAAGAGCCAGCGCTGTCCAAAGACGTCTCCGGGGTCATGTGGCCAGCATGGCTCAATGCCGAAAGCGCATGGAACGCTGTTCCCTTCCCACCAAAGGTGGTTCCTATTTTTCTACTTGCATTTTTCACATGCTTTCGAACTGCTAGGTTGGCAGAAGCTGGGACAAGTCACGGGAGCTCACTCTGTTACGCGGCACTAGAGATTCGAACTGCCAAACTTTCTGATCAACAAGCTCAGCGTCTTAGCCAATGAGCCACTGCGTCCCTATATTTATAGCAGAGCACAGTTCATAGACTTAACCATAGTTTGTTCCTCAAGCTGAAGGGGGGAGCAGAATCAGCTTAACATGGTAGCGTCATCCCGCTAGAAATCCGATGTCCAAACGCTTCCACTGGTAGGAGGCCACCTCCTCTGGCTCTGTGCTTCCAAATTCTTCCCTTCCCAGTTGACCCAGAACGAGAAGGGAAGTTATTAAGCATTTTAAAGGGAAATTTGGGTGCCTAAAAGTTCAAGTTTTAATGCCGGTGTGGCAGGATGTTGAATTCAATTCGGATGGCTGGAAGCCACGGGCCAGAAGGAAATCTTTCACAAGAGACAGAAATCCTGGCTTTGCCCTCCGTCCCCCCGGCCGACTCAATGCCTCTATAGAATGAAACGTATGACAAAATCCTCTTTCATGGCTCGCCTACTCCAAAGGCTCTTTCTCTGTTTATTCTTCCCCAACTCCCCCCTCCACAAAACTCAAGAATTCACATAAAGCTCAGGTCATAGAGGCATAGAGCAATCTGGAAAATGATGAAAGAGAGGGGGGGGGAGGGAGGGAGGGAAATGGAAGGAGGGAGGAAAACAGATTGAAATTCAGTAAAGTATTCACCATAGAACCAATCAGCCTTAAAATAAAGTTTATTTTGGAGAGGAAGGAAGGAAGGGAGGAAGGGGAAGGGAAGGAAGGAACAAAGGAACAGAGGAATGAAGGAAGGAAAGGGGAGGAACGAAGAAGGAATGGGGGAACTAAGGAATGAAGAAAGTAAAGGGGTGGAACAAAGGAGGAATGAAGGAAGGAAGAGCAATAGGTGATCAGAGGGAGAAGGAAGGAAGGAAAGGGGAAGAACGAAGGAGGAATGGGGGAACGAAGAAAGGAAAGGGGTGGAATGGAGGAATGGAAGAAAGAGCAATAGGTGATCAGAGGGAGAAGGAAGGAAGGAAAGGGGAGGGAGGGAGGGAGGGAGGAAGGAAGGATGAAGGAAAGAAGGAGGGAAGGAGGAAAGGGAGGAGAGAAGGAAGGAGAAAAGGAAAGGGGAGGAAGGAAGAGCAATAGGTGGTCAGAGGGAGAAGGAAGGAAGGAAAGGGGAGGAGCAAAGGAATGAAGGAAGGGCAATAGGTGATCAGGGGGAGAAGGAAGGAAGGAAGGAAGGAAAGGAAGGAAGGAAGGAAAGGGGGAGGGAGAAAAGAGATTGAAATTCAGTAAAGTGTTCACCATAGAACCAATCAGCCTTAAAAGAAAGTTCATTTTGAGAAGGGAGGGAAGGAAGGAAGAAAGGAAGGAAGGAGGGAATTTTATCCCTTCAAAACTAAGCTATTTCAATATGAGACCCCCTAAGCCCTCCGAATGTCCCTCCTTCTGTCACATGCTCCTTTTCCACCAGATTACAGCCACCCATCTTCCTCGCTGGCACCCCTCCAGCCCCCTTCTCTGCCCCCTGCTCTAAAAACGGCAGATCACTGCCACTGCAGAGTCACTGCTGCTGGCTGAAGGCATCCATGCCAGCCTCATGACCTCTCCAGATGAGGAGCTCTGAGACAGGTTCCCTCGGTGGGATTCAACTGCTAGGCAGGTGGGAAGGAAAGCATTGAGACGCTTCGGATCCAAAGCGTGAATGAACTTCGAGAGATGGTGGAGGGAACTCTCCTGCCAGGATGAGAGAAATTGGCATCCGGACAACGAAACTTTTGCTCCCAAGCACAAGAGATGCCTCATCAGGTCAATTGCACTCCTTCACAGCCAGCAAAGTCTTTCAAGGGAGGATTTACAGTCATAGACCTTATCTGGCTTGGAGAGCTGCCAGGTCGGTATCTGCAGAACTTGGCAAGGAGTCTCGGAGAGTCACGAACCAATGAAGCGAACTCCTGCAAACTCCACTCCCCTGTCGCTCCTCTTTTATTCCCTCTGGGAGGGGCCATTCATCGTCCACCTATGGCCTTATTCCCAAGCCGACCCCTGTTCTTTAGCTGTTTCCTTCGTCTGGCAACTCTGCGCATGCGCACACTGGGAACAGGCTCCCGCTGTTCTTCTGCCTCACTGCTATCCGACTCTGAAGGCAGCTGATAACTGTCAGACGGCTCTGACCCCCTCTCTGCCTCCGACACAGAGCCCTCTGATCACCTATTGCTCTTTCTTCCA